CTTTCCCTAGTCAGGAGATTGCTGGGTGCTGCTAATGCAGCCCAGGTCATCATGGTTAGCAGCCGTGCCCTTTCCCTCCCCTCATCCCTATACTGGAAGGGGCAATAGTCAGAACACCCTCTATTTGGCCACTAGTGCAGGGGTTCCCTGATACTCTGTTCTGATTAGGCCTGAACACCAGGGAATGTCTAAGGAGAAGCTGCATTGACAGCATGGCAATAATCAATTCGACTTAGTTAATAAATTTTCCTGAATGCATCAATTCCTCCTGAAACTGAATCCAGCAAAGTACTATCTGTGGGCACATCTACATGAGACGTTTACTGTGCAAAATTGTAATTAGTTGTGTAGTAAACACTGCATCTACACATGCACCCCTATTAGGCTGGAGTAAACCAAGTTACTCTGCTGCAGGATAGTACTTCTAAATACAAGAACTATCCTGCTGCGGAGTTTTTTATTCCACAGCAGCGCAAGTTTAGAAGCTACCCTAGGTGGCTGGGGCACGAGGGTGCTTCAGTGTGGGGGGCTGCCTGCCAACTAGCCCCATGCTGAAACACCCTTGTGCCCCAGCCAGCCCCTCTGAAGCACATTGAGCTGTGGGGGCAGCAGCCCTGGGCTGTCTGGTTGACCCTGGGAACCCCTGCCAGCCAGGGAGGCTCCAACTGGGCTCAACATGCTGTGGTCCAGGGTGCACATGCAAATGGCACACCTGGAGCAAGAAACTGCTCTGGAGTTTATTTCTTCACATTAATATGCACATATAGACATGCCCTATGTGTGCAAACCAGATACATAAGGTCATCAGGGTAGTATTGCTATTTCATACCATGCTGAGGCAAAGGATAAGAGTCACATGAATAGTGGCACTATGGGGCCTTGTGCTAACCAGCATTTTCCCTGTGAAGATTGAATGGCCAACTGCAATGCCATCCACAGAATAACTCCTCTTTGGAGTCTCTCCTGCTACACTGCCTCTGCACTAGAAACCAAAGGCCACCCTACTGCAGACCTCAACAGAGCTCACAGGAAGTGCTGACTACTCAACTAACCTTAGCTCAGTTTTCCTTCTGCAACATTTATGTGACTATAAACTCCATCATTTTTAGAAGGGCGGGCCTATGGATACAAAGATCTGATCCACCTGGCCCTTTACATTTGCAGACTTTACTCCCAACAGTCAAAACAGGTATAAGTGTCCCTAAACCTTGAAATTAATGAGGGTGTTTAGAGAAGAAATACACAGTTACTACAACAGACATAACTATGAGACAGTGGGTGTGTCTACACGTGTGCTTTAATGTGCAGTAGTCTATTCTGCTGCACGTTAAAGTGGCATGTCAAAAACAGTGCTAATAAGCTAATGTGCAGTAGAATTAGTCTGCTGTGCATTAAGCATCACTAAAAGGCACCTGCCTTTGCTGCTGTCTTTTGCCCTTTACCTTATATTAAAGGTACTAAACTTAATGCGCAGTAGCAAAATCACATTAATGAACGTGTAGATATGCCCAGTGGGACATAACCATGTGTAGAGGGAGATATAACCAAATACAGCATGCATAATGTAAGCAGGGTTACACCTATATTATCATGGCAGCTTTGAGACTAATTAATCAAAGACCACAGGCCTGTTGTTCTGGGCACAGGAAAAAACAAAACAGAACAAGAGATCTTGTACTCTAAATCCAAGAGTAAAGACAATTCAAGGGAAATAGAAGTAGACTAGAATTAGTGATAAGCAACAATCTTAGCTACATCCTGGGGAATTATGCACCTGCACAATTTTGCACATAAAAGACATGACCATGCAGTTGCATAATTTTGCATAATTTAACTGTGGCAGGATCTGTATCTCCACTTCCATGACGTCGAGGCACAGAGCTGCACGACTAGACAGCTGGGTAGGTAGGGAGGGGAGCTTCTGCCTGAGGGGTGGGGGTGTGAGTGGGTAGGTGGGGCCCATATGCCATTGGGCCAGGCTGGCTGGCTTAGTGCCTCCACGCGGGGCTTCTAACTCTCCAGCTGGAAGCTGCATGTGGAGGCAAGCAGGAGCCTGGCCCAATGGCACATGACTCCGTGCCTCCATGTGCAGCTTCCCACAGGAGTGCTGGAAGCCCCACGTGGAAGGCTGGGCCAAACCAGTCTGGCCCTATGGCATGTGGACTGGGAGCCACATTCCATTGGGCTGGGAGGGCTCCTGCTTGTGTTCACAAGTGGTTTCCTGCTGGAGTGCTGGAAGCCCTATTTGGAGGCATGGAGCCCAACCAGTTAGATGGTGCCTGTCTCCCAGTTTACATACCATCTGGCTGGACCAGCTGGCTCCACACCTCCACATGGGGCTTCCAGCACTCCAGTGGGAAGCCTCACATGGAGGCACAGAGCCCACCCAGCCCAATGGCATGCAGCTCCTGCCTGCAATGCCACGAGCCCCCATGTGCTGCCATGCAACCAGAATGGTTTGGTGTGAAGGTGCATGCCAGCAGGCCAGGCCAGCTCTGTGCCAGCACATGCAGGCCCTGAGACCGACTCAGCCAGAGGCATGTGTCGCTAGGGGCTCTGCCTGATGCTCCAGGGCCTGCTGCTGCTGAGCCACTGGTAGCAGGGGCTGTGCAATGTGCAAGAGGGTGGGGAATGTGTGGCGGGGAGGGGGCCCACACCCACCTACAAACCCCACACGCATATCCCTACACCCCTTCACAACTCCCCCTCCCCGCACAAACCCCACACCTGTCCACAAACCCCCCATACTCCTATAACCACCCCCCCCACCCACACACACACACCTGTCCACAAACTCCAAAGGAATGCCCACACCCACACTCCCCACCTTCACAAATCTCCCCCACACATATCACCCAAACCCTCCCAACCATACAAAGTACCTGCATATATTTATAAAAAAGGTTCAAATAGTGTCATATTTAGTTTATTTTTTAAAAGTAATTAATTTTGCACAATTTTGAGTTTTTCTGTGCATAATTTTGAACTATTCTTTGTATAATTCCCTGACATGTACTTAGCACATCTTATTTTTTAGGGTGGGATATTAAGGAACAGGATCTGAAATGCCTGCATAGATATTTACCTAAAATTTTACCCGAAGTCTGTGGTGGACAGGAAGGGAGGTGAAGAGGAGGGGAACAACACAGGAAAAGTACAAACCTATTTTTACTCAGTAGGTGATGAAAGCTGGCTTTATTGGAGAATTTGTGGGCATCAGAAAGGTGCCATGAGAGCGGATAGAAATTTTTCCAGTAACTGCCCATTTAGTAAAAGATCTGGCCAAGCGGCTGCAGAGGTGACTCCTTGAGAAAGCAGGTCCCTCTTTGCTGCACCTTGGCACCAGAACATCTCAGTTGCTGAACAGGCAATCAGGACATGGTTGCTCGAGAAGGGTCACTTTGTCCGCAACCCATCTGAGTGCAGGAAACCTGGGTCCTGCCCTTTAATGAAAACCAGCTGCCCAGAGACATGGGGAAAGGCTGAAGGCCCCAAAGCTGCTTCCAGCGCATGCTCAGGAAGGGCTGGCTCCAGTGACAATAGCTTTTTTGGTGAATGCAAAGCAGCAGATTGGCCTGTTTAACCCCTCTGACACAGTGCTGCATAAAGGGGGCTGGTGCTATATGTCCTCTGCACTGGGAGGGGTGATCTTGCCATGGCATGGCAGCCTAGGGTAATAGGTGTCATTAAAGACAAAGGGTAATAGGGAAAGCACCTTAAAAAAAATCTTTCTGAGCTTTCTCTGAGAAATAAAATTACACCCAAAAGCACTAAGTTAAGGACCCAGCACCCCCCACCTAACAAGCAGAGCACAGATCCACAGCTCTTTCAGTGAAGTGAGTGGGTGGCTCTTAGAAGAGCCTTTGGGTATTTGCAATGTCTCTAAGTCTAGGTCCAATTCCGCAGATCTCACTTGCCCTTGGCTTTGTGGCTCTCGGTTTTCTTAGGCAGCAGCACTGCCTGGATGTTGGGCAGGACGCCCCCCTGAGCAATAGTGACTCCCCCAAGCAGCTTGTTCAGCTCCTCGTCGTTGCGGACTGCCAGCTGGAGGTGGCGGGGGATGATGCGAGTTTTCTTGTTGTCGCGGGCTGCGTTCCCGGCCAGCTCTAAGATTTCAGCTGTCAGGTACTCCATCACTGCAGCCAAGTAGACGGGGGCCCCGGCTCCCACTCGCTCAGCATAATTACCCTTGCGAAGCAGGCGGTGCACACGGCCGACCGGGAACTGCAGCCCCGCGCGAGAAGACCGGGACTTAGCCTTAGCCCTCACCTTACCTCCCTGCTTGCCGCGACCGGACATGATTTCGCCTTTAAAAACCACCACCCCTTTGCAACAACAAACGCTCAGCAGTCGCAAAACACCGCCGTCCCTACCTTTTATACCCTTGTGGGAATGAGGAGAGCGGGTCTTGATTGGTTAATTACGGAGCCCACTTGAAGCAGCCAATAAGAGAACGAAACAGCATCCCGGCCAATTGAGAAAGAAAATGCTATTTGCATCCAATAGGAACGTGGAAATTGGAGTAAGTCTATTTGCATAGAAGCCGGCCTTAAGGTATGACGTGATGAGCTTTAGCAACCAATAGCGACGCGATTCTTAAGGCACCTTCATTTGCATACGCACTCTATAAATAAAGGGGCTGCCTACGGGATTGCGCCATTACTTTTTCTTTGAGAAAGGAAAGACTGGAGTTTTCAGCATGCCGGAGCCCGCCAAATCTGCGCCCGCCCCCAAGAAGGGCTCCAAGAAAGCCGTCACCAAGACCCAGAAGAAAGGCGACAAGAAGCGGCGCAAGAGCCGCAAGGAGAGCTACTCCATCTACGTGTACAAGGTGCTGAAGCAGGTGCACCCCGACACCGGCATCTCGTCCAAGGCCATGGGCATCATGAACTCCTTCGTGAACGACATCTTCGAGCGCATCGCCGGCGAGGCGTCCCGCCTGGCGCACTATAACAAGCGCTCGACCATCACGTCGCGGGAGATCCAGACGGCTGTGCGGCTGCTGCTGCCCGGGGAGCTGGCCAAGCACGCCGTGTCGGAGGGTACCAAGGCTGTCACCAAGTACACCAGCTCCAAGTAACCTGCTTCTGGCTTCGTCCCCAGAACCGCCCAACCCAAAGGCTCTTTTAAGAGCCACCCACTTACTCCTTGAGAGAGCTGCTTCATTCCTCTTTTGTATGTTTAGAAAGAAACGTAAGTTCAAACGTATCCCGCATCTTTTACGGGTTTTTATGTGGGTGTGAAATGGTAGTATCGAGAGCTGGCTTTTGTGCCGTGGACGGATGTTCACTTTTTAAATAAAATACCTTGGCGCTTTCTCACTGTTTGTGTCAGTCCCGTGTCTGAGCACGTGATGTGTTTACATCTAGAATCAAACGCATCTAAATGCTTTAGGAAAAGCCACTGTAAGGGAATTCCCCAAGCGCCCGGAGGCACTGGAGCAAAAGGCCGGGGTCTGCAACACTTCCAGGAAGTCACGACCCTTGAGCTGGGGGCGGCGTTTTGAGGCAGACAAAGAGGGAGGGGAGCGAGACCTTGGGAAGTTCGTGACACCCTTGATGTTTGGAAAATTAATACGTATAAGTAAAAACTTGTGGAGAAGGGAGGCAGTCGTCCCCGAGCCGCGGCTTGAAATTTTACTGAAATACCCCCACCCCCAACATTACTACCCTCTTTGTAGTAAAGGGGAGAGGAAGGTAGGCTGGGGATGGCGCTACGAGTTAAATCAATGTTCCGCTTCTTGGGCTGGGTCCTAGCAAGCAACCCGCAAAGGCCGTCTCCTGGGGACGTGGCACTGAAACCTGCCATGGTTGTATCCACATCGGTGTCTGTCAAGCACGCCGCTCACGTAGTCTTGCAATAAATGATGTAGAAAAAATCGTGAGAAAATACAGGCCCCTCGGTTAACGGGCGCTTGGGAAAAAGATCGCACCCTAAGACGTGCAAGAGGCGACGGCCGCCGTACCCCCATTCCCAGCCAGCCCTTTGCTGTTAGGGTGCTCGCTTGTTCACGCCCACGGCTCCTTTGTACGCATGCTCCCTTTCAAGGGCTGGCGCCAATTTCGGCTTTTGAATTCAAACGCTGCTTGCGGATTGGTCCGCTGCGATCCCTCTCATTGGTCGGGGCGCTATACCGTCACCAGGCAGGGCTCAGTCGGACAGTCAGGCGGGAGGAGATTGTATTGCTTTGTGTGCAGCCAGTCTGCGCGTGCTCAAGAGGCGGCGGCAAGGCTTTATGATTTGAATCTGAAGCTTAGCGCTAATTGGTTGGAGAGAGACACGCAGCGTGTTCAATTGGTGGGAGAAAACAATCGTCACTCTCTCAGGCTGGGTGGGGTGAGGGGCGAGGGGGGCGGGTCTTTACCGCCTTTCTCAGTTCACCTTGCGGTCGGACTGCACTATCTGTAGACGGCCAGGCGGCCGCTGCTTTTGGCTCGGTCGGCACGGAAAGGAGCGGGTGTGTCTGGGCGCGGGAAGGGACTGGGGAAGGGAGGCGCCAAGCGGCACCGCGAAGTGCTGCGCGATAACATCCAGGGCATCACCAAGCCGGCCATCCGCCGCCTGGCCCGCCGCGGGGGCGTGAAGCGCATCTCGGGGCTCATCTACGAGGAGACCCGCGGGGTGCTGAAGGTTTTCCTGGAGAACGTCATCCGCGACGCCGTCACCTACACGGAGCACGCCAGGAGGTAGACCGTGACCGCCATGGACGTGGTGTACGCTCTGAAGCGCCAGGGCCGCATCCTCTACGGATTCGGCGGCTAAATCGAAGTCCCTCCACTTAGTCGACCCAAAGGCCCTTTTCAGGGCCACCTATCCCTGCATAGAAAGAGCTGGGATCATTTTAATTGGGAAACGTTGAATTAACGCTAGCGTAAAAATGTTTTGAATTCTTATATATTTGCTTATAGTTGCCAGTCACTTGAGTCGTGAAGCAAAGATGCTTGCCTAGCGCTCCAGAAATGCTGCTGCTGCTGGTGCCCTGGGAGGTGTGTGGGATCAGACAAGGCTGGATCTCGGGGCTGCGGAAGGAGGGAGCGAGCTTTGCTGAAGTATGGCTTGACCAGAGTTTGCAACAGTTGCCTGAGCGCGCTTTGGACGAGGCCGCTTGGCGCCCCCAGCACCCTCCCCCCCCACCCCCCCGCGTGGCATGGGAGTGGGGGATTTGAGTCCCAGGCACAGACGGGTGTCTCTTCCCCACCTCCAGCGGTTTTTCCCTGGGAGGAGGAACTTTCACACCCCGCTACGGTTCCCCCACCTGGTCTGTGCAACTGCAGTGGGGGAAGCAACGTGGCTGCAGTAGGTGGGCGCCAGAGCAGCCCCCAGCCATGATCAGAGGGCCGGGGAGTTGGCAGAGGCTTGGGTGCTGCGGAGGGGGAAGATCTACTCGGAGAAGAGCGACCTGCTCTGAGTGAACTCCATCACAGCAGGTGAAGGGGACCGTAAGGTGGCCTGAGAGTGGGTGCTCAGTTCAGGAAGTGCTGGCCCGCGGTGCACACCTAATTAATTTAGGCTTCTTGTCAGAAAGTTTACTGCAGTAAGGGCTGCTTCTCTGCTTGCTGGAACCATCTGCGGCTTCCCCTGCACTTCTCAACTCGCTGGGCGACTTGTCCCCTCAAGGGCCAGCAAGGCAAGACCAACTGGCATTTGTCCTGGGAAGAGTTGCTGCCTGGGCTCCCAGCACCGTGCTTGCGGTGGAGAGGTGCAGGCCCTGAAATGCCAGGCTAAGTCTGTCCAGGAACAAAGTCATCCCGAGTATTCGACCCCAAGGTCCTTTTCAGGGCCACCTACCCCTGCACAGAAAAGGTGGGCCTGTTCCAGGTGCATGCACTAATAAAGATGTCCTAGAAATTATTTGCTTGTAAACGCTCTATAAAAAGTTTCTATTGACCTAAGTAATGTTCAGCAAGGAGGCTAGTGTAGACCAAGGGGCTGGCTAGCAATGATGTCCGGGGGAAGGGAAGGGAAGGGAAGGGAAGGGATGGGGTGGTCTGTGTATGAAGACGGAGATGACCCCGCAGTCTTTGGGATCTCCAGCAACTCGGAAGGGAAGGCGCTTCAGGAAGTCGCTACAGCCTCAGTTCTAGCTTTGGTTTGGACGTGACAAGCTAGGCGGGAGTGAGGGAGGATTAAGGAGGTGGTCCCAGAGTTAGCAGATGCCCTGGCTCTGATGCTGGGAGATGGGCCAGGGTCCTTCCCCGCTGGGGGTACTGCCCCCAGGCGTGGGGCACCGTGGGGCTGATCCCCAGTGCTCTTTCCTCCACGACCGCGCAGCCCCAAGGAGGACAGGTAACAGTGCATGCATGGCTCGGGGATCACAGCTCCGTGTCTGTCTGGCATCACATCACTGCAGCGCCCGCCAAGGAGCACAGAGGGTGTCCTGCGTGCCCAGGGCGGGCGATTGAAGTAGTCTCCCTGGGGCGGTTTGTGTTGCCTGCTAATTGATAAAGCGTACGCAATTTCTAACCAATATTGTTCACACTATGAGTCATCTTCAGAGTGATTCTTTTAGACCTGCGCGCGGAAGGTCTGCAAGAGCCCGGATAGCTCAGTCGGTAGAGCATCAGACTTTTAATCTGAGGGTCCAGGGTTCAAGTCCCTGTTCGGGCGGCTGCTTTTAGAATGCATTTTTGCTCGCAAATATGAATTGCTGTAAAAATATGACTTCGCGTGAACATCTGTTGATAGATTACTGAGAATTCTTAAGGAAAAAAACGTAATTTCTCCATTTTTTTAGAGGAGCCTTTGCGTCACCCGAAAGCAGTTTTTGGGTTTTCTGCGGGGCCAGCTCCTGTGGTGGAGCCTTGAATGAAGGGGAAAGATCAAGGAAAACACGATTAACAGTATACCTAAAAGGGAAATAGGGAAGAAAATAATCCTATTTCAGATATGGGTCTGGCAATCTTTTTAACTGGTCCCATGGTGTAATGGTTAGCACTCTGGACTCTGAATCCAGCGATCCGAGTTCAAATCTCGGTGGGACCTTAGTGCACATAGCGGCTTCTTTGCTTCCTGAGTGGACTTATAGATCTCCTCCACTTTGCTTTCGCTTCCTTAATTTTATTTAGATCATTGGCTCTTTTGTTTCCTTTTATACTCAACAGAAGTTGTTGAAGCAAAACAGTGACTCAGTGGTTTCAGGCCCCACCTGCTCCCCTTCCATCCCCCTCACTGAAAAGCATGATGCCACTCAACATCAAACTGAAGACAGATGCCTGCGAGCTGTAGATTTGCTCACAAGCCACAAGGGGGAGAAGTTGTACTGTGTATGCCAGCTTCCTGGAGGGGGAAAGAAGCCTGTAGCTGTCTTTGATACGAATCCAGGCACATATTTTAAC